TTGTTATCTTAAAGGATGTCTGCCTCATCTGGCATCATGTTACATCTTTATAATTTCAGATTATTTTATTTAGAATGAAGTTTGTCTATTGTGGTATCAGCGTATTCTTTGTAGAGAATAATGCATGTTGCACCTTTGTCATATCAGACTTCTACCATTTTACAATATGTTTTCAAAGCTTTACATTTTGAAATATGCCTCATACAAACTTTGAAGAAACCTTCCCAGAGGGCATGTAACACTTGTCTAACTTTTCTCCAATCAAAAGATTACATATTACATGTATATCCATTTGAGTCAGATGCAGAACAAATCCACCACATCCTCTCTAAACTTGCATGAAATATTTGCCACTGGACATTAAGCAAATACAATCATTCAATCTAAACTCCTCACTGAAAGCCTGAGCATGTCTTCTTTTAAAACAATAAACAGTATAGAAGTAGCGATAGAGTAAAAGTTGCGGCCATGTCTGACTCATATTTTCAGTAACATATTCAACATTTAGATTTTTGACAGTCATCTTGTTGACTATGATAGGGTTTAATATATTAAATTTCTAACCATGAGTAAAGTAAAAATGTTAGTGAAATGAGGTTAGTCTTGTCATGTTTATTATGTAGGTAGTGAAATGTCTGTCGCCGAACTGACAACACTACTTATGTACAAGTATACAATACAAGGAAAACGTCAACATGATTATTGTATTATCATATCACTTTTTAATAGCAAAAACTATGTTAAGTTATTAATAAAAGAATGGAAAAAATGTCTGCATGAAACATTTCCTCTTTAGTTTCTCCATATACGTCCATTTTTACAATTACAATAAGAGATAAGAAGATAAGATAAGAATTTTATTAATCTAATCAAGAACCCATAAAGGGCATCATTTACAACAATATTAAGCACAATATGATTGGAAAAAAGAAAAACTATATCCTAATATAATACTATCATATATTGGACAGGATCAGAGCCTAACACATCATGTGTCTTACATAACATTAACAATAATTGCATAATAATTTTATATATTTTGTATCCACCTGGATCTTATTTCTAAACACTTAATTATGTAATTGCCTAGGCACATAAGAGTTGGTAAATGCTCATTTGTGAACAGCCAGAAATATTTTTTATCCTTGGGTAATTCTTTAAAATTATTACAAAAACTGTTTACTTTATCCCATAATAATTTTCTCTGTTCGTTATATAAAGGACAACTTACTGTGAAATGGGTCTCATCTTCAATAGAATTTGATCCATGTGATAGGCAGTGATGACATAGACGCTGACTTCACAATAAATAAAAATAATGACAATAGATTTTTTAATACCGACTTTAATTTTTGTTAATTAATGAACAAACAGAATTACGATGAGGAAACTGTATAAATTATCTTATTGTGTTGTGATGAAGGAAAATGAGATCGGGTTTTATTAACATGATTTATTTCCTTTCATTCAAATATGAAATTATATACCTACCCAGCTCCCATTTTTATAGTGACCACACAGCCACAAAGTTCTGTTTACTGTTGAAGCCTTGTCAGGTATTGGTTTACAAAAGGTTCTAATATAACCAAAAATATTGCTTTTGTTATTTGACTTATTAAACAGTTTGCATGACACAATGTATTTTATCATCCCTACAGTGACACTAATAGTGATGTATAGGTCCTTAAACCATCTGCTCTAGTAATTTCATACCATATATTTTTTGTAAATTTTACCATATTTGTTATAACAAACATTCTTTGGAAAAATAATATTTGATTATAGCCATTTAATTGAGGGAAACAGTTTATGTAACAGTATCAGATATAGGATTTCAGTTTAAGGAGAAAATGGAATACAAAAAACATGAATAATTTTTGTCATTCTTTCACTTTTTGTTTGTAGGGGGAGAAAACTGTGCACCCTTGCATGCATTATATTATTACAAATCCCATTTCTTCAGTAAAAACATGAAACCCATCATACACAAAATACAACTAATCACCAGATGTATACCCTCATGAGAAACATGACAGGTGTAACTAGTGGAGCAGAAAGCGAAATCATTCTGGATTTTATCCTCAATTTTTTATTGGTTTCATGTTGCTAAATCTTTAGTTTTTTTGTGTAATCATATACAACATTAGTAATGTTGTATAGACTTTTATATATCTTTTCTTTTGGCCATGGTTTTGCTTGTCCTCTGACTATAGATCTTGGTATCTTCTTTCTTCTGAAGTCGCTCCATTCTATTATTGGGTGGTGCTTGTCCTCTGACTATAGGTCTTGGTATCTCTTTTGTTTATAGTTGCTCTCATCTATCATTGCTCAGCAACTGCATCTCTATATTGCACCACTCTACAAAGTAAATGTAGCTAATATCCATATACATAGAAATGAAGGTATTACATTCATACAGTTGAAACAAAATATTTGCTCAGTATCGTAGTCAGTCATTACAAAATAATCACAATTTGGGATAGAAAATATGGAAATGTTGATGTAGGAAATTAAATAAAAATGTTGTGGCTATCAGAACTAAGTTGGGTGTTCTTTAGAAACAGTATAGTAACTGTTCTGTAAACAGGAGAATAATTATCCCTTTAAGAGAAAAAAAAACAAGACATTGTCATATTTCTTCCCTAATTAAACGTTGAGGTAAATAATCTGGAGAACATTGGTGACATGCTAAGTTTGGCTCATAGTTAGGGTTCAATGTAAACATCGCCTAGTATGCAAGAGAAAAGTATATTATTGATGTAAGTTAATGTCTTTTTGCATGAGATTGTCCCATCAATTTCATTACTGAGACATGAACATATATATATGTTAAGTTATTTAAGAGATGAAATATTGACATGGTTTTAAGGTGAAATACAAAATTGTTGTAACGGTAAAAGTTTTAATACTTGAAAATACTACATGTACCGGTGCTGTTAAATTTTGCCTGAAATTAAACAACAATCTTAAAGTTAAATGAAAAACAAGGCTTAAGGATGTACTTAGGTGAAATTAAAAAAAAATATAGAATTTAAAATTGATACTATAAGTCAGAAGAGCATTAGTTGAGGAACAAAATAAGCTAAAAATATTGATAGGTTATAGAGCTCCTTTTCGAGATATATATTATTTTTTTAAAAATGGCGGGAAAAGGCTGACACAGACTTTTACCTTTTATTTGCATTGGTATTATTTGGGTCTCAAATCGAAAGAAAAGAAATCTAGAACCTGCTTAAATGTGGGTAAATGACCTTTTATGAGCTATTGAAGTCTCATATGAAAAGAAAAATGGGTGTTATGGGGCAAAATATTTTACCCAGTATCGTAGGAAAAAAACCAAGGAGTCCGAACATTTGACTAAAATTCCTTAACCTCACCTAAGTACATCCTTAATATATTTAATGTATGTGAATGAATTATTGTAACCCAAAGCTGGAAAAACAGAATTTAACAAAAAAAAAAATTTCCCAAGACCCCAGCTGTCAAAAGATGGCTGTCTGTTTTACTGACAGAGGAATGTTAGATGTAAATATCATTGACAGGGGGTAATTTTCCTGTCTCTCTATGTTTCAGTCACTTGACTTGTTAACTTTAGATAAGACAGAATCAGTCATTTTGTTGTTTCCTGGTAAAGAGCATTGTGATTAAAATGTAAATGTTATAGTGTGCAATCTTCACACACTCACACACAATGACAGTAAATTCTTATGTGTATGAAGGAGTATGTTTATTTGTCTTTTTTTTTTTTTTTTATAAAAACAACAGCATTCTGAAATTTTAAGATATTGCTTTGAAACTCATCAAAGTAGAATTTCTTTCCTGAATTTTCCTGTATCTTGGAGAGAGTAATATTCTTTCCTTGTACATATGAAAACTTGTGTAGGGGTAGAAATCAAATTTTAGGGCTATTTGTTTATGGAAGAGTTCTAGTGTCCATTCTATTCTAAAATATTTGTAGAATATAGTGGTTTGGAAGAATAATGTTTTAAGCATGACATATTGTATATATACATCTGTATATGAATGCATGTTTTGTTATTAGTGTTATTTGGTTGCTGTCTAAACAACATCTTACATCTCCTTTTATTCTACTTTTTAAAGCAAGAAATTAGGAGTCAAACTTTCAATCCCAACTTTCTTTTATATCTCTTTTACTTCTCTTTGTTGTCTCCCTTTGCCTCTTTTGAAAGAAATCTAATTCAACTGCAATGACAAAAAATGAATGATGGAAACAGTGTTGATGTAATTGTACTCTTTAGTAAATGCATACAAAAACTTGCTTCATTCATAGATAAATATATAGTAATGACAGCTTAACATATTATATACACTTGACAGAAACACTTACTGTTACAGTTTAGGATATTAAGACATTTATAATCCCTATCTGCAAGGTGTTGGATGTAAATTGGCTGTAATTGAAAACAGGTTATACATTTGCTCTTACAAGAAAAAAGTAAGACATGTAAAAAATCAAAACATACAATGTCAGAAGTTTTTTCTGTTTAATTAATAGATTCTGTACAGTTGAAACATTTCTATCCATGAAATATGTCTCTTATATTTAGTTCACAGTGGGGCCCCTGGTTTTATCACTTAAATCCCAGTAGCGAAAATACATTATGATAAATGCCATATTGCCAAATACTCATTAAGAATGAGGTAACATCCAGCAGAAAACAGTTTCTTATCTGCACAACTTTTAAACAAAGGTTTTCTTCACGAACAATTAAGTTATCATATTTTCATGCAACTTTTGTCTAAATGAGCCAAATTTAATCATATTTAAGAATGGAGATGTTTTACATTAAATCTCACAATTCAGATTAAAAAGAAATTTAAACTGATAAGAAGTAGTTATGAATGGTTTATAGAAGCACTTAATTTATATTTATTGAATGAAAAGATTGGTTCATGTATTGCATATGTTTCATTGAGATTCTGCAAACATGTTCTTTAACTCTGCTGACAAGTAATGTATTAAATTTACTCTTTAATAGATGAATCTACAGGCATGGTTAAACAAGACAATAATCTGTATCCCAAATCAGACAGTGAAGACTTGTCCAAAGATGGAGGTAGGAATACTTATCATAACCTGATCAAAGGTCATATGTACTTTAATGACCAGTAGTTTTACCTGATATGCTATTGAGATATTTAAGATATACCCCAAGTAGAGTTTCATTTATAATATATGTATGTTGATTGTTTAAAAAAAATTGATGCAGTGCAGAATGAAAAAGGAATATTTGAAATTAAAACATACATTAGAAAAACAGTTGAGGGTAACATCAAAGTAAACAAGCCATATATGCTGCACTTTTATTGTTTTTAATGCATCCCATCCACGGCGTAGGGGGCATAAAGTGTTACCCTTGTAGTCCGTACATCCCAAAATTAGTTTCCGTTCTGTAACTTAAGTTTGCCTCAACCAAATGTTATGAAACTTATATACAATGCTTATTACCATAAAACATAGATCCAATTTGGGTGTCATCACTTTTACTCTAGTTATGTCCCATGGACACATTCTCCATTTTTTATTTTATCAGCCTTCATCTTAACCCTGAGAAATAAATATTTGGAAAACAAAAGATACATAAATACATGGGAGAAATATTATGAAAATAACTCAAAACAAATAACCCATTTAGGCCCAATGGTCAACTTAACCTGGAGTCAAATAAGAACCCATAGGTCAACTATTCTGAAAAGGATAAAGACCCTAAAAGGTCAACTATGGTTGAAGTAAAATGAAATGAAATAATTGAATTATTTGAAGGAAAAGAAAAAGTTTAAACCACACAATACTATTTGATATAATATAAAAGACTGTATTTATATTTATTATTATTCTTTTTGTTTTAGCTTCACCACATTTTGTTCACAAAGACAAGATGAAACGGCAACATTTTGCTAGACCTGTTTCAAGTTCTGTGAGGTTCAAGTGTAAGGCAACTGGAAACCCAATTCCACATATAGCTTGGTTAAAAGACAATGAAGTCATCAATAATCATGGGAAGAAGCCCATGTGGACATTAAAGTTACTCGAACTGACCAAAGCTCATTCTGGCAAATATACATGTCTAGTGAACAACCGACTTGGGTCCATTAATTATACATACACATTGGATGTTATAGGTAAGTGTACTAATTAAACCCACATTCTAACACTTTCGTCACTCTTAATGAATTATTAATATTATATTGTAATAAATTGCTAAATATGACATTACAAATGGATTTATAGTGATTTTTAAAATGAAATCATCAGTTTAATGGAAATGAGTAATGAATTGTGTCAGTTTATCTGTCCCAAGTTAATTGTGGTACAAAAACGTTGTGGTAAATACTGTGATTTTATTCCTGGACGTAATATAAAAGAAAACAATAGTCCTTTTGAGTAACATGCACAGTTCTGCTTATGTAATATGCAAAAAACTCCCTTAATTAATGAATTTCAAATTTGAAAAGGTTTCATTCAGTTTAGAAATGAGACATTTAATAAGAATGTATTTAAACTCAACTTTAATGTCGCTAATATCAGTCTGACAGGCGTCCAAAATGAAACTTTTTCTTTTTTTCTGTTTTCGTCAAATACTGTACCGCCATCACCACAGCAATAAAGATAGTTTCTCCTGGTTTTGATAGATTCCTTATAATTTGATCTTTAGATATGTGCAAAAACATTTTATTTAAGGATATTAAAATAACTTACTATGATACTGGTATACTAGACAGCATAATGGAGTCATAATTTAGAATCAAATTATAAGAATTCTGATATAGATGCCTGTTATCTTCTCTATAAACTCTCAGAGATATCAGTCATATACCATTACGTAAAATAAGTTGGATAATGAAATATAAATATATGTAACTTCTCTGATAAGACAGAAAAAAGGCATTATGATTTACATTGAACTCTTCTTTTTTAACAGGTTGTCTTTCAGAAGCTTATTTAAACTTGACTTTTATGCCTCTAGTATCAACCAGGCTTCCAAAGTTAAACAATTTCATGGGTTTTTTGTTGGCTTCTATCAAACACCACACCAACATAACAACTGTAATAAAGTTATTTTCTCCTGATTTCTATTTTGGTTTTTTATTTCCATCAAAAATGCCAGCTTTGCACTCCAATTTATCAGACGGTGAAATAGACTTTACAACAGATAGTTTTAAAATTCTTCAACAATCATTACAATGAAATTAAGTATTCTTATGTTAACTTTTTATAAAATCAGAAATTGATGATAATTTATATTTTCAGAACAATACCAGGAAAAACCAGAATTAATTGGTCCTCATCCATTAAACACAACAGTAGATTATGGCCAGCAGGCATCTTTACAATGTAAAGTCAAAAGTTTGATAGAACCTCACATTCAGGTAAGATATTTGAATTATCTCCCTTACCATTCTGCTATTTTGAGTGGCATAGATTCTTTCTCCCGTTTCTGCTGGAATTCTTTTAAAAATATGTATTCCTTCATTCCATGACTTATGATTCTATTGAAGGTAACAATTAATCAAGTTTTCTATTTTCTTTATCAAACAAGTTTATTGAAGAATCATATATATTTTCAATTTTTTTTTTTTACCTATTGCATTTTATAGTTTACTATACAGTATAGTTTTGCTCATTGTCAAAGGTATGTTCATCTGTATGTTGTTTACATCCATGTCCTTTGGTCTTTTGATGGATGTCCCATTTGCAATCATAAAACTTCAATTTCTTACCTTATCCTGAATATGCATGAATTGCCACTGGACGTTAAATAATCAACAATCAATCAATCTTATTTTTATATTAATATTTCATTATACATAGATTTAAATAAAAATTTACGATAAAAAAAAAACAAAGATAATTGTAGTTATAAATTTGAATTATTTTCAGTGGCTGAAACTCCTCGAGAACCCAAAAGTTGATAACAACCAGTCAACTATCAAAGTAGGAAAAGAATTATTTGTTGTTTTAAAAACTGGTGATGTTTATTCCATTCCCAACGGAACATTCCTCAATAAACTAGTGATAAATAGAGCCACAGAGGAACACAATGGAATGTACATTTGTTTAGGAGCTAACATCAGAGGATACACCTTCAAAAAGGCCTATTTACACGTTAGACCAAGTAAGTACAATGCTGGACTATCTCAAAAAGGACTATTTACACGTCAGACCAAGTAAGTAAAATGCTAGACTATCTCAAAAAGGATAATTTACACGTTAGACCAAGTTAGTACAATAAAGGACTATCTCGAAAAGGACTATTTACACATCAGACCAAGTAAGTACAATAAAGGACTATTTACATGTCAGACCAAGTAAGTACAATAAAGGACTATCTCAAAAAGGCCTATTTACACTTCAGACCAAGTAAGTACAATAAAGGACTATCTCAAAAAGGACTATTTACATGTCAGATCAAGTAGGTAGAATAAAGGACTATCTCAAAAAGGCCTACCGGGGTATTTACACGTCAGACCTAGTAAGTACAATAAAGGACTATCTCAAAAAGGACTATTTACACATCAGACCAAGTAAGTACAATAAAGGACTATCTCAAAAAGGACTATTTACATGTTAGATCAAGTAGGTAGAATAAAGGACTATCTCAAAAAGGCCTACCGGGGTATTTACACGTCAGACCTAGTAAGTACAATAAAGGACTATCTCAAAAAGGACTATTTACACATCAGACCAAGTAAGTACAATAAAGGACTATCTCAAAAAGGACTATTTACATGTTAGATCAAGTAGGTAGAATAAAGGACTATCTCAAAAAGGCCTACCGGGGTATTTACACGTCAGACCTAGTAAGTACAATAAAGGACTATCTCAAAAAGGACTATTTACACATCAGACCAAGTAAGTACAATAAAGGACTATTCACATGTTTCATCATACTTTTTACTGGTATATGTAGTTCTGCCACAGTTGTGGACTAAAATTTGCATTTTATACATTCATTGAAAACTGTTTTAAACAAGGCTAACAGTTAAAAAACAGTGCTATTCTAGTACATTGTTTAAAACAAGGCATACAGTTAAAAAACAGTGCTATTCTAGTACATTGTATAAGTAATTTGTGAAAACCTTCCAATACAAAAGAAAATCTTTCATTAGACATGATTGAGATATGAATTGTCTTTCATATAAAACCAAGTGAAATAAACTAAAAATAATAATTTAGTGGCCTAAGTGAATTGCTAAGTGATATGAGAAAAACCAAATATGATAGGTAATCCTTGTAAGGATACATCAGGTTTTAACTTAAAATTGTATTATTTTTATGTAAAATTGGTTAATAATTAACTGGAAATCTTTTGAAGTGTGTATGAAAATAGCAATGATTGAGTTAAAGTTTATCCATGCATGAAATCATAAGCAATGGATTAAATTACACAAGAAATGATATCTGCAATATCCTTTATACAAATGAGAAGCATCTAATGAGATCAGTGGATAAATATGGTAAAAGTACACATTTCCAACCATGTGAAAGAACTCTTTGATTTGTTTTTATTTAGTTAGAATATTAAGTACTTTGAATAATCATAGTTCATGTGGGTTACAGATTTACTTTGTGTTTTGGTATAAGAAAATGAGAATGCTGAGTTTATTCGAATATATTGCTGAAAATTAAAAAAAAACAATTAATAGTCCAATTAATTATTTCTCTTTTTTTTCTTCAGATCCAGCATTATCAGAAATGACCTCTGATACCTCCAGTTCATCATTACCTCTCACAATAGGTGTGCCTACTTGTTTCGTATTAATTGCAGTGACAATTGCAATCACTCTTCTTCATCGGAGGAAAAAAACAAATAACTCGTCAAATGTGAATAAAGGACCCCGATTCAATGCAGTTCCAACAACAGAGACTGAATCGTTTCCTTCGATGCACTCTAACCATCCTACAAACTTGCATGTGAACCCCATGCATGGGGTTCCACATCCGAACTTATATCCAGGTCTGCCTAACAGTCAGTACACTGGTATATCTAATAACCAAATGTTCCCATCAAGTATGGGTTCATCTAAAAATCATAGCATTGACTTTTATACAGACATTTCATCCGTATCTCAAAAGCATCATCACCACCATCATAATACACCACAGTTTTCATCCTCACAGTATTCATCATAGCCAAAGGGAGACAACTTTAATTACGGAATACCTCAGACTTTATTAATCGCCAGTTATCGAGAAAAGATGAAGAAATTTTATTCTGTATTGTACACTTTAGTAAACGTTTGTTATGATATTGAACTGTTTTGAGTTTGTTCTTGAATGGGAAGGGAGGGAACATTATCTGTACACCAAATTGAAAAATTATTTTTCAAATTCTGAAAAATTTCTTAATCAGTGGTCTATAATCTTGTCAAAATTGATAAAAACTTAAATGTTCTTAAATGCTGTTTGTATTTTATGTCAAGTATATTGATGTTTATGATTGAAGCTTCTTTTTTTTTTTGGTTCAGATACAAAAGTTGGGATTAAGTACAGAGTACAATTTCTGGAGAAAATCAGTTGATCTATAACATTAGTGACTAAATATGTTTGTCATTTATTGCAATACAATTTTTGTTATGTAAATACCTTTTTATAAAAGAATTTATACTTATTTGTAGCAAGAAGTGCTTTTTGTTAATTATTTTCTGTTAGTTGTGTATATAGTTTATGTGATTTAATATTTAATTTAATTTCATTCCTAAGGATTTTCTTTCACTGAAGAGGAATTCTTCATATTATTTTTTTAATATTATTTCTGTATGTAAAATTTGGGATATTAAAAAAATTATTTGAAATTCAGCTGATTAAAAAAAGGAATCTCTTTTTTGTCCTTAAATTTTCAGAAACAGTTATCTGTTCATACAAAATAATGTTAATTTGTATACAATATTAAGTTAGGTTTATACACTTATGATTTGGGTTGTTTTTTTGGTTGTTTTTTTTTATTTTAACCAGTGTAAATATAAGAAGTCACAATTTTTATCATTTGGTTAATATATAGGGATATGGTCTACCAAATCTGAATTTCATGCATATTTTAAAAAGTACTAAATGATATGTATATAATTTTTCTGCATTGAAACTCTTTAATAACTGTAAAATGTATTGCATTGTGTAGAGATTGAAGACACATTGTTACTACCAATCTGTTTATTTGGTAAACCCTGTGTCATTTTAAATTGGTGCTGCCATTTTAATTATCCTTTCATATTTAACTGCTTTCTTTTGTGAAGCAAACAAAGTAAATGTACAACAAATTTTGAAAAACAAAAAATTTTGATAAACAAAAATTTCAAATATTTGGCATCATGGAACATGTCTGTATATAATATGTTACATAAAAACTAGTTATAAAAACTTATTTTTATTTTTTAGATTATTTTTAATTACTTAAATATTGTGTGTTCATGATTTAGTAATACATGTAATATATTTGAACTGAAAGCTCTTTTGAGAAAAGTAGGTAGGCCATATTTCTTCCAAGTTAATGCTTTTGAAACAGGCATTTGAATTCAATAAAAGTATCTATGTGTATAAGTGACCAGTTGGTAAAAGTAAAAACAAAATTTGATTACATAGATGATTTGAAATAAGTTGTAAACTATGATTTAGATACTTGAAACAGGGTTATTATATTTTACTTTTCTTTTTTTTTTTACTTTTATATCGGTATGAAGACCACCATACATAAAACAAAATATATTTTGTGATATTTATTATGCCAAAAGGAGGAGATGTGTTCTGTATATGATTTCCTTCTATTTGTAAATAGTTTGTACATTATTTGTAGAAATGTATCTTTGGTGCTGTATTTTAGGCAGTTAAGCCAAAATATGTATAGAACCTAGTCAACATAGCTAATATACAGTATTTGAGACATATCAACCAAAGTCTTTATCAGAAGAAATGCTTTATAACTATTTCCTTTACAAGAATTTTATTCAAGAGGAGTAGGTTGCTTGAGTTTTCCAGTATAACTTTAACTGTTTGGAGATTAGGGAACCAATTCTTTTGCCTATACAGACTCTTTTTGAAAAAATAAAATTTATTTGACAAATAATTAAGATACATAGCCATATTATTAAAGGCCATATGAAATAACCGACAGTGAAATCTGTCTTAACCAAACTCTGCTAAATTCAGAGATCTGTCTTAACCTAACTCTGCTAAATTCAGAGATCTGTCTTAACCTAACTCTGCTAAATTCAGAGATCTGTCTTAACCTAACTCTGCTAAATTCAGAGATCTGTCTTAACCTAACTCCCTCTTAAGTACTATCTGAAATCAGGGAGTTGTCTAAACCTGTCTAAATAAAACCCTGCTTAAATCAGAAACCTCTCATCAGAAACCAAACTTAACTTTTCAATCAGGAAATTAGAATATATTAAGTGAGCAAAATTTTATTTCCTGTAGCCTTTGACATAACGCTTATTTTTTACTTGAAACTTCGTCATAAAGGAAGAGGTTTTGGTGTGGGGGTGGGGTTATTGTAACTCACAACAACTATTTACTGTAGTTAAATGTTTTGATGTTGATACTGGAGAATATAAGCACCTACTCCTTATTCAAACACAGCCAGAGAGCATTTGTCTGGGTTTGTAAATTTTCATGAACATTTGTATATAGAGGGACATTTTCCATGCTTTTTTGTTGAACAGATAGTTTAAAACGAAGTTGCAATAGATAATACTGCGTCATGTGATTATTTATTTTAGTTTCATATTTTGATACGGTTGAATGATTTGTAAGAGTAAGATATAGGTGACTGTTAATAGAATGTATGAATCTTGGATATATTGACCGTGATGGATGATAGTTGTATAAAAATGGAAGCTGTGATTGAAATGTGAGTTTGCTCATATTGAGAAGAATAATGTTTGTGGTCAGTGATGTAAAAGTGGTTTATTGAAGTATTCCTTTCCTTGCCGATAGATATTTTTTTTTAAAAACAATTCAAAATTCTCGTTATTTTGAGAATTGCTTCACCTCTTTATCTATCATATACCTAGTTGTATATTCAACAAATTTTAAAGCGTTATAGTCCATATTTGTATGTTTTTTAAATGATTCATTTTGCAATTTTTTACATAATTTAGATTTTTTTATTCAAAATTAACTTACCTCTAAAGTTCATGATAGTCCAAAATCAGCTGTATTTTGTGATTGACCTTGAACACATATTTAATGACCTTGAATACTGTCAAATAAAAATATGAAATTTCTGAGTTTCTCAAAGAAACCTTTCCAAATAACCACCTTTTTCAAAAATAGAACTCAACTCATGAAAGAGGGAATGTTTCTTTGGTATTTCTGAATAACAAACAATATCTACCATATCAAAAAAGTCAAAGTTTAATAATTTTTAAAGAAACACTGAAGTACTAAGTACAATTAATACTGAATTATTTAAAAACTGATTATTCTTTTTTGTATTGAAAGTGATGTATCACCTTAGTGATGATATTTATGAATGATTGTTTTAAAAGAATTGGAGAAGATGTTTATAAATGATTGTGTGATACACGAATGATCTATGATTGCGTGGTACCTGAATGATCTTCAATATTGTTGCTGTCTACTCTTTTGTTTTTGATAAAAGTCAACCAAAGTTAGTTGACATATTTGTTATGCCTTCAAAATAAATAGTAAAACAATACATGTCTATTTCACTCATAAATTTAGCATTGATATGCTTATTTTATGCCCATATGAAAGATTTGAAGTAAATATGCTGTATTTTGCCATGTCCCTTACATAACTGTATCAAGCTCAGCTCATCCAGACCTAGGATTGATATGGATATACCTTGTGTCTCTGTCCATTCATTCAACAAATATTTTTGTCTCACTTTCCTCAGAAACTACTAAACAAAATGATATCATATTTGGTCAGCAACTTGACAATGATAAGTTGTAACTAGGGAGAACTGTCAGACACCTTCTTCATGTTTTCCCGGACTTTTCAGTTATGAGTGTGGATGAAGATGATGCTTAGCATGACAACAAGTGCATTCTTGTTTCAATGATTTTTTTATTCTCTTAACTTTAATTAGCTCTTCTTTCATCTTCCATCTTCAGTGTTGACAATAGGTGGTATTGAATCTCTCAGGAATATACAACTGTTTTCATTGGAGATTGTTACATACAACATTAAGAATTTAGAAATCTGAATGGCAAAGTATTCCTATCTGCATGCAAATATTTAGATTAGCAAAGACGATATATTCACCCTACAGATTGTTAATATTCAGGTTTAATATCATGCCCATTCATTAGTTTTAGACTCAATAAATTTGTTTCTGTATTTCTGGTCATTTCTTGTATATGTAAGTAAAATCAACACAATGATAACTTTGCATAAGACATGTAAAGCAGGAAATATTGGCTTTAATTAACAAAAAAATTTCCAAAGACTTACAAAATGTGCATTTTATTGTAAATCTGAGACATGTAAAAACAGTCTTCTCTTATTATATAAAAAGTTAGTTAATTAAATCATTTTCTACCGATTACTCTGGCCTTGGTTACCCAGTGGTTTAAGTGGTACATCTATAGTGATCACTACTGTCAAATCTGAGATAAGGAGTTTCAATCCCACTCAAGAATTGCCAAGGATTGCCAAGGATTGCTAGTTTTCCTGTCAAAAGGTAGCTTGTTCTCTCAAGATAAACTTGTGTTCTCCAACAATAAAAACTTGCAGCAATGATGAAACCAAGTGTGCGAAAGGTGGCATTAAAATAACAACAAACATTCTGCCTATTACATTAACATCTTCAGCATTCAGCATAGTAGTAGTACAAAACATTTGGTTTCATGTATCATGATGAATCGAGTTCCATTTGTATGATACAGCTAAATGCTGTGCATTTCTAATCATGCCCAGTAAATGAGATCACCAACATATCCTACCTAAATGTAGTTTGTTTATAATCATGCCCAGTAAGTGAGATCACCAAAGCACCATACCTAAATGTAGTTTGCTTATAATCATGCCCAGTAAGTGAGGTCACCAAAACACCCTACCTGAATGTAGTTTGTTTATAATCATGCCCAGTAAGTGAGGTCACCAAAACACTATCAGCTAAATACAGTGTGTTCATAATCATGCCTAGTGAGTGAGGTCACCAAAACATCCTCAGCTAAATGTATGTTTATAATCATGCCCAGTAAGTGGGGTCACTAAACCATCCACAGTGAGATGTAGTATGTTTATAATCTTGGCCAGTATGTGAGGTCACCAAAACACCCTAAGCTAGAAGTGAATGTTTATAATCATGCCATGTAAGTAAGGTCAACAAAACATCCTCAACTAAATGTACTAGTAGTATGTTTATAATCATGCAATGTAAGTGAGGTCACCCAAACATCCTCAACTAAATGTACTAGTAGTATGTTCATAATCATGCCATGTAAGTGAGGTCACCAAAACATCCTCAACTAAATGTACTAGTAGTATGTTTATAATCATGCCATGTAAGTGAGGTCACCAAAACATCATCAACTTAATGTACTAGTAGTATGTTTATAATCATGCCATGTAAGTGAGGTCACCAAAACATCCTCAATTTAATGTACTAGTAGTATGTTTATAATCATGCCATGTAAGTGAGGTCACCGAAACATCCTCAACTAAATGTACTAGTAGTATGTTTATAATCATGCCATGTAAATGAGGTCACCAAAATACCCTCAACTAAATGTACTAGTAGTATTTTTATACTCATGCCAAGTAAGTGAGGTCACCAAAATACACTCAGCTAAATACAGAATTGGTTATAATCATGCCCGGTAAGTGTGGTCACCAAAACACCCTCAGCTAAATACAGTATGTTTATAATCATGCCCGTAAGGGAGATCACCAAAACATCCTGAGCTAAATACAGAATGTTTATAATCATGCCCAGTAAGTGAGGTCACCAAAACACCCTTAGCTAAATGCTGTATGTTTATAATCATAAAAGTAAGTGAGATTCCGTTAGGAATTATAAGGCCAGTTAGTGATAATTTAAGATTTTTTTTAATTTTATTAAATTTTTTTTATTTCCATTGTCATTGGAAAGATTGTATGAACGAAATATATACGTTTTAGCAATTATTGGTCAAATGTGTATATTACAATATAAGGGCAATGGATTGTATGTTTTCTGTTCTATTGGAAAAAATGAAACACTTTTTGGATATGAAATAAAAAAATGGTATTCTTTTATTGTTGTACCTGATTAAAGCAGAACTTACTGAGAAAGAGTTAAAATAACATATGCATGTAAAAAAAATTAAACGCACGTGAATGGAAACTGTACACAAGTTTAAATTATGGCAATTTTAATGTCACAGATACATTTTGAAACGATTGAAACAGGGTAATGAAAATAGAAACTGAAGTAATAACTAAAATATACAAATAGATTATGAAAACTAAATTCATTCCATAATGTCGAAGCCGTTTTTCCACATGAATACTTTGAATCCAGATATAAACTTGATTAAGAGAAGTACCGGCAAGCAAGAGGAGAATTTATTGTGTTAATTTCACGAATTTTTCCAGAAATATCATGAACCAAACAAACAATCGCACTATTTGTAAACTGAATTGTCAAAATACTGTATTTGACACGAAGAGGGATCACCGTCAGAATCAATAGGGATTGAGCAGTATAATTCTTCAAAAGTCATGCCATTTTGTTTTAAATTGAATCACATATTTTTGCTTAAATTTAATGTGCTTGCTGTCATGTTGAATTGCTGATTTGCTTTTAAATTGATCACACTTATTTCCTCTGATTGAATTTTCCAAGCTAAAATGCACGGGAATTCCAAAACGTCAGCGAGGTATTATCGAAAGAATGACAACTGCAAGTGCTGCTTGACACATCTTTGTCAAATTGAGGACAATTTCAATGGAATGTGCATTAGATGTGAAATAGTTAGTGATGAAACAGTCAAATCAGTTAAAGGATGCATTAAGAATACGGACGAAGAAAACAACTAAATACTAGTACTCTTAACTGATATGGACGACCATAAAATAGATTTCAAATATAACAGTGGTGCCGCTGACTTATGTTTTAAACACTATTTTGAATAATAAGTGGTTGTTAAATCGGTATTCAGTACTATAATTTAAAATAGGTGATTGAATAAACTTCAATATTTCAGATTTCCTTAGCAATTACTAATAATGTTGCTAAATATAACATGCATTTATGGGACACAGATGATGCCCCCGCTTGCATATAACGTTATAAGGGACATAGTTCAAGAACGATGACAGTGACGCTACCAAAATTCAAACTTGATCTGAGTTTTGTGGTAATGAACATTGTGTATAAGTTTCATAACATTTGGTTGAGGTAAACTTTAGTTAGAGAACGGAAACGAAAAATTCAGCACTTTTTTTCATTTGTAAAGAGGCATTACTCTAACTCTAGAACGGTAAAAGTAACGCCACCCAAATTCGTTTTTGATCTGTGTTTTGTGGTAATAAGCACTGTGTATAAGTTTCATAACATTTGGTTGAGGCAAACTAAAGTTAGAGAACGGAATCCAATTTCGGGACGGACGGACGGACAAGGGTAACAATCAATGCCCCCTCTGGTGACGGCGGGGGTATAATAAAAGGAGATATGGGGTAAGCATCCTATACACTGCAATCTTTTTGCAAAATAATAGATTCCTTAATTCTAGTTTAACAAATTACTTTTAAACTATTTCCTCGCATTAACTGGCCATTTGGACCTAAGCTGAAACTACAAAATTAAAATCTGTAATAACATATGAACCACGTGGTACTAAACGTTAGCATATATTTTTTGTGGTTGCGTTATAGGAGATTTCATTGCAATATCCCAAATCCAGTTAATCTTTCTCAGTCAGAAATCTACAATATCGATCATATTTCATCAATTATCATCTGGAAGGAGTGTGTAAGGTAATGTTATCCATACAAAACCGAAAATGATGCGATAGATATTTAACGAATACGCACGAAGAACTTTTCTGGTTTAATCTCCTTGATATGCATGGTGTGGAAAGCTTATTTTCAATAAAAACGTACATTCATCGATTAAAGTAGTTGTTTAAGTCAAATACATTAATTAAAAGATTTTTCCTCTTTAGATCAGGCCGAAATTCCTTGACTCGGCTACATACTATTTCCATTCTTACAAAATGACCTGTACACTGGTTGCCATCTGAATAATCTAAGACAACAACTAAAGCCTTGCAATGTTGGAAATGAAGTAAGCTTACTTTAAGCAACGTGTACTTAATTTGACCTTTGTCGTTTCGGGTGTAAAGTATCAACAATAAATTACCAAAGAACCACACAATTTTATGATACCAGAAAGACATATAGTACACATAGTGAATGGTATCCTCTATGAAATGTTTAAGCATCCTTGCTCCTATAACGTACTGTTACTTCGCTGGGGTATAGAGTGCCAGCATCACAAACATTTCTCGCAATCTATATAGGACACCGCGACTCAATTCACACTGTAGTTAAGTAAAATTAATCGGACGCCGTTTTGGCGGTATGAATAGGGCTGGTAGTTAAAGTGTTCAAAATGTATTGGTATCCAGCGCACGTATGTTAAAACCAATACATCCGAAAATCCATACGTTACTTTCCTTTGTTGCCAAACAGTAACAAATTGTATTATAACATCTACATTGTGCAATTTGGATTGGATAAAGAAAGATAATTCAATCATAGCGTTGGAAAATGTAATTGTATTTTAATTAATTAGCGGCTGTGTGGATCCAATATGAACAAACGATGGATGGATGGATTGATGGCTGTTTAACGTCCAGTGTCAATTATTACATGCAAATCATTAGTATAATAGAATTCGTTATAATGCAATCCTGATTCGTACTAGACCGATATGCTGATTCGGTATCTTAAATAATAGCTAGCAGGTAGACCACAGGGACTCAGCAGATTAAAATCAAAGTACTGAAGTACTGAACATCGGATGACCACAAGTTCTTGAGGATGGTCAAAAGCACTTGTCTCAGAAAAAAACAACATATCTCTTTACCTAAAACTGAGGTTAATGTACAGAGATATATTTTTTTCTGAGACAAGTTCGTGCGTGGATGATGAATAAATGACAGGAAATTCAACTTCACCGTAATAACTATTATATTGTAGTGATACAAATCAGTATACACTGAGTTGTCGTTTATATTATATTAAAATAACAGTAACATATATATATGATTTGAATCCATTTGTATATCATTCTATTCTACTATTCTAAAAATAGTGCAATGCAAGTGCATGGTGGACACTTTTCTGTAAAAATTCGATTTTTCTAAGATTGGATACGAGTAGGCATTCATATTTTCCCGCAAAATCAATTACAGAGTTACCGGTCCTTGACGGTATTTTCACAAAACGTTCTTTGAGATATTCTTCCGCATGCTTTAACACAATTTTTCGGTACGTGTGCATTGATATTATCAATGATTTTTTACTTATATATATATATCTAACTACAAAACATTTTCATATTATTAATTTATGTTGTAAACAAAAATATTTTTATCAGTATTCATTGAAGAGATGTATTTATATCAAACGATAAGGAATTTTATTTTGCACTCGTTTATGTGCGCGTATTTATCATGTTTATAGATCTGTTACAAACCCAAAACTAATTTACATAATGGAAATCTAGGCGATAGCAATACATCGGAATGACCTCAAGGTCATCGCGATGTAAAAATTAATAATCAATGTTTTTTTTATTATTTTTTTCGTAATTCCAGTCTATTTGTATTACATTACTTAAATATTTAACATTGGAATCAATATTTAGAATAGTGAATTGGAACGGGGAATGTGTCAAAGATACCACAACCCGACCAAAGAGCAGAAAACAGCCCAAGGCTACCAATGGGTCCTAAACGCAGCGAGAAAATCCCCGGCGCACCCGGAGACGGGTTTCAGCTGGCCCCTAAACAATAATGTATACTAACTCAATGAAATAGACGCCACACTAAACTCCGAAACATACAATTTTTTCTTGAAATGTACAGTTTACTATCCATATCCGTATACTGAAAAATCCTATCATTGATTTTTGTATCTGCTAACCGAGCACGGTCCCTCTGAGGAAGACCTGTCTCTATGATGATAGCACGGAAACATTATTCTGGATCGTCTAGTGTGTGTTCTTACTTCTGAATGCCGCGTCCTTAGCGGGAAAGAAGCAAATACAAATGTTCAAGTCTTTCCAGCCAATGACCAACTGCACCTGAGGTGCGCATGCTTCAACGAGACATGTGGTTTGAACAAATTGGGAGGGGTGTTATACGCCCCACAATTATTGGACAAAAGCAAAAGTTTAAAACAAAATCAAAATTTTTGGACAAAAAGCAACGTCGGAAAAAAGCGGGTGGCGGACAAAAACATCGTCGGACAAGAGGATGGCGGACAATAAGCAACGTCGGACCAAAAAAAAAAACCGGACGTTAGACGAACAAGGCACTGCATCATTCGCCAATGGTGAAGTAAACAAACGCAGAAAAGCCAAAACGACACATTCTAAACACTTTTAGTTTACCATATCTTCTTAATCTCCACACTAAAGCTATATCAAATCTTTTGACTCTGTAATCAGTCCATTTAATTATGTACGTATATATATTGTATTTTACTACATACAAAATAGCTGATCTGAAAAGTACACCATCTACTTGCCACTATACATCATGTACTGTGTTACAACCCTAGATAAAGCCGACGAGGAAAGGTATTACACCGACCACTGAAAGCTATATTTTATGTAGCCTAGGTGGTCTAGGGCGCTGGACACGATGCAGGCGGTGTTGCCACGATGTCACAGAAGCAAGGGTTCGAATCCCGCTGAGGGAAGAACAAACATTTGCTAACGCTTTGAAGATCTAACATCGTTGGGATAAATTTGAGACGAATTATATATATATGTTATGGCGTAAGCCCTGTATAACCACGTGTTATTCGACGAAGAATGTCGATCTGTCATAAAGTTGTCACATGTTTAGACGTGTTTATGTTATATATGTATATCTGTTGCAATGAAGGCAAAACTGAAATAGCTGTAAAATAAGGCAACACGAGCAAAGTAATCAGATTATTAGATTTAAACTTGAAGACTGATTAAAATAACAATTATTTTTGATTGAGGAAGGGACAAGTCATTCTTTTTTGCAAAAAAATCTCTGCAACTGGTATCAGCAAAAATGATTTTTCTCAGTATTGAAAACACATTTAAATAGTTAAGGAGACGCGTTTTTCGACAGACGATCGCCAATCTTATGGGAACAAATGTTGCCGATAATATTGCCTGCCTTTTCTTTTATTCGAAAGGTAGACTGCGAATGGAGTATTCATAAAAAAAAAAGGAAGAAGGGAAGCTGGCATTATTTTTTTTAATTTCGCGTTACGCATTAGATGATGTCGTCGTGATCATTTGTCTAAGTCTGGTGACAATGTTAATCGTATCGCAGAATTATTCTGGCCACTTTTTTGCAAAACAAAGGTGTGCGCATACGCTTCATTACAAGGAATTTATAATTACAGCATACAAACAAAAACGGTGTTAATAGGTTATGAGACACTTTGCCGATCTCTTTGCTTTAATCTGAGACTATTATACTATTATGGCCCAGCTTTAATATTTGAATAAACAATATGTCCGTTGACCTTAATCAAGTTTTCTTTTTTGGAGACACGGTCGTTTATGAATCAACTTGATGGGTGTCACAAGACAGTCCAGTTTCAAAAACCATATTGTAGTGGATAAAAGACATTGTGCTGCTCAGCATGAGCCATGATGTTACTGGTTACTGGCGCAATACTGAGTCTATCATTTCACAAGCAATGCAAGTCAGCGACACATGTCTCATGTAGCTATCTGGATGATTCGTTCCAACTCCGATTCGTACCAACCAATTCGTTCCAACTTAAAATTCGTTCCTTGGTGATTCATCCCAAGTTTATTTTAATGTCAGATATTCGGCCGTATTTTCCGAGGAAATTTATTTAAAAATATTAGGAAATTTTATAATTCTGGTATTTATTCGGATACTATTTTTGTACTTTTCATTTGTATTTATTCAGCATTTATATACCATTTTGCATCTTCAAATGAGTTTGAATAACCAGACACACCGGTGTGTTCGTGGTGAAATATATATTTGATGCGGTGAGGCATGCTTTTTAGAAAAGTTCAGTTATCTATAAAGAAGATGTGGTATGATTGCCAATGAGACAGCTCTCCACAATAGACCAAATGACACAGAAATTAACAACTATAGGTTACCGGTACGGCCTTTAACAATGAGCAAAGCCCATACCGCATAGTCACCTATAAAAGGCCCCGAAATGACAAATGTAAAACAATTCAAACGAGAAAACTAACGGCCTAATTTATGTACAAAATAATGAACGAAAAACAAATATGAAACACAGCAACAAACGACAACCACTGAATTACAGGTTCCTAATTTGGGAAAGGCACATACAGAATGTGGCGGGGTTAAACTATAGTTTATTGGCGCCAAACCCTCCCCCTAACTTGGCCTGGGACAGTGGTGTAACGGCACAACATAAAAACAAACTATGCAAAACAATGAACGAAAAACAAATATGAGACACAGCAAAAAAAAACGAAAACCACTCAACTACAGGCTCCTGATTTGGGACTGGCACATATAGAAAGCGGGGGGAGGGGGAGGGGGGGTAAACTAGTTTGAAGGCGCCAACCCGCCCCCTAACCTGGGGGTCTCATTGGGGGGTTCTGATCCCGGATCCCGCTTACTGTTTTGTCAGATTCCTGTATCCCGCTTACACTATGTACGTAAGCAATTCTCATTTTTTTTGTAATTTCCCGTGTCTCGCTATACTTCATTTCCTGTTTTCACGGCACAATAATTTGACTTTCACGTGTCACGCTTACAAAAAATCGGCAATCCCGGGTCACGCTTAGACCCCAATGAGACCCACTAACCTGGGACAGTGGTGTAACAGTACAACATAAGAGCAAACTATAAAAATCAGTTAACTCATCAGATGAGGGGGGGGGGGGGGGGTAGGAGTGGTCCGAGTGATCCCGAAATCCCGGGCTTATAAACATGGAATCCCGAGGTCCCGAATTTAAAAAAATTGAAATCCCGACATCCCGAAATTCGAAAAAAGAATTCCCGGATCCCGAAAGAATCAATCCCGAAATCCCGAGCTTAAAAACACCCGATCCCGGAGTCCCGATAAAGGTCCTACACCCCCCCCCCCCCCCTCAGATGGATAAATATATATGACCTATAGTTGTTAATTTCTGTGTCATTTGATCTATTTTGGAGAGTTGTCTCACTTGGATCATACCACATCTTCTTTTTATATATAAAGTTGAAATTTTCGGAATTTCTTTGTCATTCCGAGTTTTCTTTCATTTTTCAACTATTCTACTACTTCCTGGTAAACAAAAACATGTGATCTGGAAATCGACGATGTTCAGAGTTATTGAATCGAGTTATGATGCTGTAAACAAATATTTCCTGATTTTCCTACTTGTTTTTGTTATAAAGTCGTCCACAGGTATACCGATTTCGTTTTGAAATGAATCGATTTAATTGAGGTTCATTGTGATAATTCCAAGTTTAAGTTGAAAACTTTGTTTCCTGAATTTTTGTCCACCACACATAAAAACTAATATAACTCAGAAATTTCAATCCTTGAATAATTGGTTCAAATTGGAATTATGAAAGCTCTAAACTCCAAATCCCTGTAGGGATCATGGAAGTAGCTTTGGCTGGTGTTATTAAAAATAGCCTCAAGAGTGATTAGTTGGTGGCACAGGGGGAATAACTCTAGTTATATATGTATTTATTCTAGATAAAAGGCATGAATTTGACAGACACAATAAATTAAAATTACATACAGATCTAGCACTAGACATGAATAGGATTTCACAGATACAGATGCTTAAATGATTTACATGATCACTAAAAATAATTTAAATATAAAATAATGAAAATTTTCATGATATTTTGATATTTGACTAGATTGTAATAAGTAAATTAAATAGACTAGATTTTCAGGGAAGAGTTCCATTTGGCAACCCCATAAACTGTAATACATTATTGTGTTCTTTTAGTATGGTGGGGGTGCCATATGGTACTCTTACCGATTTTCACTGCAGCCTAATACCTTACAATGTAGGATGACCCACAAAAGTTATTGAAACTTATTCCCAGTTGGGTTCTTTTGACACTTGATTTGTTAATGGTGAACTCTGATTAGCAAATTCTGTTGCCATGCTTAACTGAGCACTAGCAGGTTTTTCTTTGTATTTTAATAAAGAAATGATTGTGACAAGCATTTATGTACAAGGGTGTTGAAATGCTATACCCAACTTGTACATTTTTACATCTCAACAAGTTATTTTTCTTGCCTACATGTACGTTGCATGTGGACAAGTTATACATTACACTTGACAACATTCTATTTATTTAAAAATATAGAATTATTTTCACAACTTATTAAGATGTATTATTTTATGTAAAAGAAACCAATGATCAACACCTGTAAAACATATAATTTAAGTTAAAACATCAATGTTCATGACAAGATGTATGAAATAAAATGGGAAATAGATAGATAACCAAAAAAATTTAAAAAACAGTCATTTGTCAGTATGCAAATTAATTGATAGAAGGGATGAGTAACTTTTTTTCTGGACAAGTAAAATTTACAGTTTTACTTGCTGAGGGACAAGTACTCACAGCAAATATTTCCGCACCACTGATGCACATTTTTATGTAACTTATAAAACATGAAAAAAAGTAATATTTAAAATCAACGATAATGTATAAAATCAATGATAATGTATATTAAAAATCAATGATAATGTATTTGGTCCATAGATTTACTGAAAGTCACCCAAAAACATGTCATAACACTTAATAAAAAATCCAAATAACTAAGGAATAACTGTTAAACATATTAAAAATTAAATTTTTACTTGTTATAAAACTCCATCTTCAGAAGAATGATAAACTGTTTATTTGTTGTTTACATAAATTATCAATAAGGGTTAAAATGTAACAAAAAATGGAGAAATAAATGAAATTGTGTGAATTTTGCTGTATTTTCATATCTTTAGGTGTTTATGTGCACTTTAATATACAAAGAAACTTGAAAATTTCAATCAGAAACTCTTAATAACCGCCTTGGTGGTCTCTTGGTACGGTGTGGACAGGTCAAACCAAAGACTTTAAAATTGGTATTTCCTGCTTCCATGCACGCATCATAGGAGTAAGAGCAAAGAATGGCCGGCTCAGAGTCAGAATGATATGTCTAGGTAGGGTGACAACCGTGACATGACTCCTGAGAACTGTAAAACCTTGTTAAAAATTAAAAATTAAAATTCTGGCTCAGAGTGTCAGTCAAGTACAAAGCAGGGTTAATATTCATATTTACACATGTACATTTGTACATTAACATGTTCTCGTCCTGAATATGCATTTAATTTACTGCTGGAAGATAAGCAGCCATCCATCATCATCATCTTAATGTCAGTTTACAAATTACATTGAACACTTTAATTAAGTTTAAGTAATTATACACAACTGTCAATTTCAAATTAATTACTTTGATCTCTTAATAATCAAATTAATTAATTGTTGGTAATTTAATGCAATGTATTTTAAAAGGTGATTTATGATAGATTTGATTATTGTAGATAGTTTAACATGTGACCAAAGAAGTTATGGACACGGTTCTTATGTTTGTGTTTGTAACTCAACATACTGTGACAGAGTAGAATCTAATGTTCCCGTCTCTAAAGGAACATATACTGTGTACACCTCAAACAAAGATAGATATCGTCTTCATAAAACCTACGGACAATTTACATCAACCCATTCTACAACTAACAAAGGTAAAATACAATTAAATTATTAAATGAACATGATGAAATTAATAATATTTGTTCAATTGTTATTATTCTGCAAACTCTGAACTGTAACATCCCTGTGTTAACATGATAAACTTTTTGGACAGTGACGTTACAACTATAAGCAAAGCTATTTAAATGATACAGGTTCAGTTTACTTCTTTTTGCATGCGAAAAAGTAAAAAAATTAAATAATGTAAATGCAAGATTATTAAATCTTACATTGTTGTGGTACGATTGCCTATGAGACAAGTATCCACCAGAGACCAAATGATGTGGATTTATAGCTGCTTACTGTATTTCATGAATTAGTTAACTTATATTCTGTACCCTAAAGTCAAAATTCAATGAGGGTTGATATTAAACATGAAATACATGTTTATCTATTAGTTTTTGACCACATACAATTTCCTACAATTTGATACCAAAAATGCATAGAAAAAAGGGAAGGTAAGGAAACCTTCAACACTAATATTTTTTTTAAATTTTTTTACCTTACAGTAAAGTTCTTATTTTGACAATCACTTTTTGCAATATCAACCAGATGTAGTACTTTAATATAAATTTGTTTACTAATCTGAGATACAAATGTATAAGCAATTGGACAGCAGAAAATTTCATATCTGTTTAAAAACAGGTCAAGTTTCAGGATATCTGTTATAAGAAATTTTTATTACTTGGAGTTGCTTAATCATTTTCTTCCTTCCAATGCCAGTCTCTCCTTAATCAAATTGTAAGGAGTTAAAATGATTATCAATATAAATACATGTATATATATCTATATCTACAAAAAAAACATGTATTATGCTGCAGGAATATTTACTATCAATAAAAATATGACGTACCAGACCATGATTGGCTTTGGTGGAGCATTCACAGATGCTGCAGGGATTAACATTGCTAGTCTGTCGTCTCCAGCTCAAGCTAATCTACTCAAGTCTTACTATTCTCCAGAGGGTGAGTTTAATCCTGTCAATCATTATAATTCAGGACATTTTACACATTTATACTATTCTTTTAAAGTTCAGCAATTCCTCACAAATCAGGATTTTTAACTTATGTGCTACTGTTCTCCTTATGATGAGTTGAAACTAGCCTGTTACCTCAACTTAATTTACTGAAATTACTCATGTCTTACATCTGTACTTGAGTCAAAACCAGCTAAGTCATGACAGAACTGTTTACTAATGGTAAGCCAAAGCCTCTGATTCATCTCAGCCTTAGTTGACGTGTACAACATGTACATGTAACTGGTTTATAAAGGTTAAGTAATCAACTCGAGGGATATGGGTAGAATAATTACATTTACGCAGAAATAAAACACTGTCTGGATACATGTGGTGTCTGTCATCCAAGATTATTACTGTTGTTTTTTTTTTATGAAAATAAGGAGGTGTGGTATGATTGCCAGTGAGACAACTTTCATTAAAGATGTGAACAATTACAGGTCAATGACTTTCAACAATGAGCAAAACCTATACGATATAGTAAGGTATAAAAGGGGCTGGCATGACCAAATGTGAAACAATTCAAAACAGGAAACAAAGGGCCTGATTTATTCTACTACAATGAATGACAAACAAATATAGCAGACAGCAACCAAAGACAACCACTGAATTACAGGTTCCTGACTTTTAATGGACACTTAAAGAATGTGGCCGGATTATAAAAAATAAGGAGATGTGGTATGATTGCCAATGACACAACTATCCACCCAAGTTCAAATGAAGTGGATGTAAGCAATCATAGGCAACCATATGGCCTTCAACAACAAACATAGCATATTTGTGAGCACTCAACCTTCACCTTAACGTTGGACAGTGGTGTAACATAAGCGTGATAAATACAAACTGTTTTCTCTTAGAAGTTTTCTTGATTCATTTGAATGATTGTTTGATTATAAAAGTGAAATACTGTGTAAAGTCATTAAAACACCAGTCCTACAACATAACACAACCAGATCTGAACCAGTTGGTTTAAAAAAAAAATTTACGAGGAAGATTGATCGTAAGTCATGAACAATTCAGTATACTTACGATCAATCTTAGTCTTAATTTTTTTTTTGTGAAACCGACTCCTGGAGGTTAGTGTATGGTCTTCAAACTGATAGATGGTGCTAATGCCATTAAACAAGCTTTAATTTACCCCCAAATTCTACATACATGGTAAAGCCATTAAGATATACTGTATACTGGCTTGGATTTTCTCACAGCAAACTAATGTCAAACCTTTATGACCAAATTTTACTCAGTTTTTGGCTGAATAAATAGAGATGTGAAACTTGACCCTTAACACATGCAAACTAAAAATAGAATTAACAAAACACAAGCTTGAAATCAGTCTTGGATATCATATGTTAAGCACACTAAGTGGGTTATATAATAGATAAAAAAAAGATTTTTAAGTATTGAGATTCTTTCAAGGAATCCAAGTCTATATATCTGAAAAAAACTAGTCTTTATGTAGAGGTATTGATTAGATGAATAAGTTTTGTTGGCATTTTTGCAGGTCCTTCAAATTAATAATTCTGAGTGGATTTATTATATAATGTAAATTTATTGTTTTATATTATTGTTCTACAGGTATTGAGTATACCATGAGAAGAATACCAATGGCTAGCTGTGATTTTATATGATGATTGTTTTACAGGTATTGAGTAGACTGTGGGGAGAATACCAATGGCTAGCTGTGATTTTATATGATGATTGTTTTACAGGTATTGAGTAGACTGTGGGGAGAATACCAATGGCTAGCTGTGATTTTATATGATGATTGTTTTACAGGTATTGAGTAGACTGTGGGGAGAATACCAATGGCTAGCTGTGATTTTATATGATGATTGTTCTACAGGTATTGAGTATACCATGAGAAGAATACCAATGGCTAGCTATGATTTTATATGATGATTGTTTTACAGGTATTGAGTAGACTGTGGGGAGAATACCAATGGCTAGCTGTGATTTTATATGATGATTGTTTTACAGGTATTGAGTAGACTGTGGGGAGAATACCAATGGCTAGCTGTGATTTTATATGATGATTGTTCTACAGGTATTGAGTATACCATGAGAAGAATACCAAGGGCTAGCTGTGATTTTATATGATGATTGTTTTACAGGTATTGAGTATACTGTGGGGAGAATACCAATGGCTAGCTGTGATTTTATATGATGATTGTTTTACAGGTATTGAGTATACCATGAGAAGAATACCAATGGCTAGCTGTGATTTTATATGATGATTGTTCTACAGGTATTGAGTATACTGTGGGAAGAATACCAATGGCTAGCTGTGATTTTATATGATGATTGTTTTACAGGTATTGAGTATACCATGAGAAGAATACCAATGGCTAGCTGTGATTTTATATGATGATTGTTCTACAGGTATTGAGTATACTGTGGGAAGAATACCAATGGCTAGCTGTGATTTTATATGATGATTGTTCTACAGGTATTGAGTATACCATGAGAAGAATACCAATGGCTAGCTGTGATTTTATATGATGATTGTTTTACAGGTATTGAGTATACCATGAGAAGAATACCAATGGCTAGCTGTGATTTTATATGATGATTGTTCTACAGGTATTGAGTATACTGTGGGAAGAATACCAATGGCTAGCTGTGATTTTATATGATGATTGTTCTACAGGTATTGAGTATACTGTGGGAAGAATACCAATGGCTAGCTGTGATTTTATATGATGATTGTTCTACAGGTATTGAGTATACCATGAGAAGAATACCAATGGCTAGCTGTGATTTTATATGATGATTGTTTTACAGGTATTGAGTAGACTGTGGGGAGAATACCAATGGCTAGCTGTGATTTTATATGATGATTGTTCTACAGGTATTGAGTATACCATGAGAAGAATACCAAGGGCTAGCTGTGATTTTATATGATGATTGTTTTACAGGTATTGAGTATACTGTGGGGAGAATACCAATGGCTAGCTGTGATTTTATATGATGATTGTTTTACAGGTATTGAGTATACCATGAGAAGAATACCAATGGCTAGCTGTGATTTTATATGATGATTGTTCTACAGGTATTGAGTATACCATGAGAAGAATACCAATGGCTAGCTGTGATTTTATATGATGATTGTTCTACAGGTATTGAGTATACCATGGGGAGAATACCAATGGCTAGCTGTGATTTTATATGATGATTGTTTTACAGGTATTGAGTATACCATGAGAAGAATACCAATGGCTAGCTGTGATTTTATATGATGATTGTTCTACAGGTATTGAGTATACCATGAGAAGAATACCAATGGCTAGCTGTGATTTTATATCATGATTGTTTTACAGGTATTGAGTAGACTGTGGGGAGAATACCAATGGCTAGCTGTGATTTTATATGATGATTGTTCTACAGGTATTGAGTATACCATGAGAAGAATACCAATGGCTAGCTGTGATTTTATATCATGATTGTTTTACAGGTATTGAGTAGACTGTGGGGAGAATACCAATGGCTAGCTGTGATTTTATATGATGATTGTTCTACAGGTATTGAGTATACCATGAGAAGAATACCAATGGCTAGCTGTGATTTTATATGATGATTGTTTTACAGGTATTGAGTAGACTGTGGGGAGAATACCAATGGCTAGCTGTGATTTTATATGATGATTGTTCTACAGGTATTGAGTATACCATGAGAAGAATACCAATGGCTAGCTGTGATTTTATATCATGATTGTTTTACAGGTATTGAGTAGACTGTGGGGAGAATACCAATGGCTAGCTGTGATTTTATATGATGATTGTTCTACAGGTATTGAGTATACCATGAGAAGAATACCAATGGCTAGCTGTGATTTCATATCATGATTGTTTTACAGGTATTGAGTAGACTGTGGGGAGAATACCAATGGCTAGCTGTGATTTTATATGATGATTGTTCTACAGGTATTGAGTATACCATGAGAAGAATACCAATGGCTAGCTGTGATTTCATATCATGATTGTTTTACAGGTATTGAGTAGACTGTGGGGAGAATACCAATGGCTAGCTGTGATTTTATATGATGATTGTTCTACAGGTATTGAGTATACCATGAGAAGAATACCAAGGGCTAGCTGTTATTTTATATGATGATTGTTTTACAGGTATTGAGTAGACTGTGGGGAGAATACCAATGGCTAGCTGTGATTTTATATGATGATTGTTCTACAGGTATTGAGTATACCATGAGAAGAATACCAAGGGCTAGCTGTGATTTTATATGATGATTGTTTTACAGGTATTGAGTATACTGTGGGAAGAATACCAATGGCTAGCTGTGATTTTATATGATGATTGTTTTACAGGTGTTGAGTATACCATGGGAAGAATACCAATGGCTAGCTGTGATTTTATATGATGATTGTTTTACAGGTATTGAGTAGACCGTGGGGAGAATACCAATGGCTAGCTGTGTTTTTATATGATGATTGTTTTACAGGTATTGAGTATACAGTGGGAAGAATACCAATGGCTAGCTGTGATTTTTCAACACATCCTTATTCCTATGATGACCATCCTGGTGATTTTTTGTTACAGAACTTCTCAATGGCTGTAGAAGATTTAAAGTATAAGGTGATTATTTTTAAACTTAGAGAAAAAACCAATACCAACTTGCATTAATGTTGAAAAGAAAGCATTAAACTAGTAAATGTATTTTTTTTATTTTTAAACTGATTATCAAAATTCTCTGGTATTTTGCTTAATCAACTACAATGATTATCAAGCTTTTAACCTGCGTCACCAAAGGCGAAATCAGATATAGTAACCGCTTGACTCTGTCATTCCTTGCATCTGAAATACCTTAGGTACAAAACTTTCATCAAAGTTTTCTTGGCTTCTATGAAGGGAAATGGTTTAATATTTGGTCTGCTGCTTGATAATGTTGAGTTGTAGCGAGTAAGCAATTTTTACATCTGTGTTGCAGCCACTTCCTGTTTGCAGATAGTCTGAAATTTTACAACCCTCATTATACAAGGAATATCATTTTCATCATAGTTTTTTACCTTCAATGAAAGAGAATGATCAGTTATACAACAGTATACATGCAACCTCAAACAATTACATGCTGCTATGAGGTCTAGACCCAGTATTGGTCTTGTTCAATCAGTAGACACTGGTGACTGATTTAGTCGCAAATAAGTATAGCAACATCACTACGATACTGAATGAGGAGCTTCCACTAAAAAATCAAACTAAAGTATACTGTAATTCCCTTGCTAAATTGAAAATACTGTGAAATCATTATAATATGACAGCAACTTTTTTTTTTAAAGATTTTTAGGGGTTTTTTTTTAACCAGAAATTTATGTCTCCAACAAAATGAAAAATTTCCTACTGACTTGTTTGAAAAACTTGCCAAAAAAATACCCATTAAATCAAGTATCCATGAAAAAGATAATTTTTCCTCAATTAGCAAAAGTTGGTTCCTTCAAAATATAAATGAATTCACACTTAATGGTTACCAGATTATGACTATAAAACCGTTGGAAGTGCTGACTTTGTAGGATTACGTGAACTGTACTCATGAATTTCAAACCAGAAATTTTATTGTTTAAATTGTGCATTATTAACAAAGAGCATGGAGCAAGACAGTCTATTTTAAAAATTCTTTCCCATAGTCATGATAGTTATAAGGTGGATAGATTGGGTGTTTACATATTAAAAAAATTGTAATACATGATATTCCGTCAAAACGGCCCAGTGAGGAAATCCTCTCTCATATATACATTCAAAGTGATTTGTTTATTTTCTTAAACGATTTCAGTCTTGTTGACTGTTGCCTATATGGTAATAAATGAGTGCTCTCATAAATGTTGCATCTAATCTTTCAAAGAAAATTAAAAAAAAATAAAAGTGTATTTTTTATTATATTGAAAAGCTGTCTCCCTGGTGCTAGAGTCGGCCACCAGAGAACACAGGTCACAGGGTCACAAAGAAAAAGAGAGTAAAAGGATCTATAAAGTGTAAGGTTCGACGTCCACTGTTTACCGTCTGACCAAAACACGTTACAATAGGGAAATCGTATACTTGTAGTTATATATATATATTCTCAGTTGTTAAATTAAATATCTGAATAAAATAAAGTTTCATATTTTATTAATATAAAAAATAATCCACGACGGAGAGAATGGGTCTTGCAGGCTCTGTCACTGGTCAGTTCGGGTCCCGGGTAATGGTTGGTCTTACAGTATACAAACAAACTTTTGATAATAACCAGTTAATAATATATAATTCAACAGTTAAGTAACAAGGTTGTCACTTATTTAGAATCTTTCAATAATCCCAATTTAAGGATATTGCTACCATTCTACATTATACAACATCAACTCAGCATAATAAAACCAACAACATACTAATTACTTTAGAACTGTCAATATAACAACCTTAGCACTGTCACCGACACATATACACTTAATTTGCACCGTCAAAAACTATATTAGCACCGGTACCATCAAAATAAGTTTATCGCCGTCAAAAACAACTTATACACAACCAGTAACAACATTAGCACTGTCACCGACAAACTTAATTTGCACCGTCTATATTAAACAACATTATAATTAGCACCGTCACCGGCAACCCGATTTAGCACCGGCACCGACAACCTTCAATAAAAACAAAGTTAACTTTCAACGCTTGGTTGTGATTATCAGACACATTTTAGCTTCTATTCAAATTTGTTACTTTCCAAATTTGCCAACCCAACAATCCGTCGCTTTTGCTTTTATACTTCCGACTGACCAATGGCAGAGCTTGTTACATATTGTTTACCAATCGGCAACCATGGATCACACAAGGGAAATTCCCGTAATGTTGATATCATTTGTAAACATGGATTGATCTTCATCAATAAAGATGGGTTTTGACTTTAAATACATTAGTAGATCATTAGAAGAGTTTTATTTGAGTTTATATTCTAATAAGGTAACTACCGCGAAAATATGGAATCAGTACGTGAAATAAAACTTCTTAACAAACTAACATACACAAATCTGTCGTATCATTGAAACAACAGCCAAAATAACAAATTACAAGTCTGACATTACTTGCAACATTAGACATCTCACTAACATCTATCATTTATCCTCAATAATTTCAAGAAACTATACAGACATAGATTTACAATAAAAAGGGGGGGAGGCTGGCATTATAATATTCTATTCTAACTGAAAAGTTAAGAAAAACAGTTTGGATTTTTATTTAGATTCCTTACATTATAGCAGCTCAGAAGATGAGCAAAAGAAATCTGACTTTATTTGGAAGTCCTTGGAGTGCTCCTGCTTGGATGAAAGATAATCAGAACATGACAGGAAAGGGATCTTTGATAGGACAACCTGGAGGCAAATACTACAAAACATGGGCTCAATATTTTGTCAGGTAAATCAATATTTTTGGCAGATTGGCAGTTTAGCAAGGTTATTTATGGAATTGCACCTTACAACTGTTAATGACAGAAGAGTAGCTGTAGGGTTCTTTTGTTTCAAATTTCATTCAGATTTACCGGTAAATTAAATTCTCAAATTCAAAAAGTTAAAAAAAATTAAATTTGTATTGATTTGTAGGACAACTTTTGTCTTTGATATAAAAAATTATTTTTATAGGACTTAAGATGAGTGATACATCAGTACAGCATCAACAATTAGAAAGTCAATACATGTACATCAAAAAGATGATTGGAGTATCATATGTGTGTTTCACTTTCAGATTTTTACAAGAGTATGGTAAGCATGGCATTCATCTATGGGGAATCACAGCACAGAATGAGCCTTCAGATGGAAAATTGCCTAATTTTAAGTTCCAAGCTATGGGATGGACACCTGCCCAACAAAGAGATTTCATCGCATTTGACTTGGGACCAGTTTTAGAGAAAAATGGCCTCCAGCATATCAAGCTAATGATTCTAGATGATGCAAGGTTCTTGTTACCTTATTGGGCAGAACAGGTTAGGCATTAAATTGATAACAAATTCATAAAAAAAAATCATGAATATCAGCATTGGAAGGAAGTTTTATGATGTATCTGGATTGTTTTATTCATCTTAGCAATTGGATAAGTAAAATCAAACCAGTAGAATGGCAGAGTTACAGTATTTGTTATTGAAACTAGAGAAAACATGGGAGACCTATAATTTTGTGTCAAAAACAAAGTTTAATTTATACTGGAGCAACTAATACATATATGTCATAAAGAAATATCTTTGATATACCAGTGGTGAATACCACTAATTCTACTAGAAACTCACACACTAAAACAAAATGATGAAAACTGATCTTTATTTGAATGTAAGTGATCACTGTAGACTACTAGAAACTCTCATACTAAAACAATATGTTGAAAATAGAACTTTATTTGCATGATCACTGTAGACAAATATTCTTGTAGTTTAGATATTAGATTTAATGGTGCTGCATATGTGCTTATCATTTTTGTTAATACTTTCAGGTATTTTCCAGTCCTAAAGCATCAAAGTATATCTCTGGAATAGCTGTCCATTGGTATGAAGATTTTATAACTCCAACTATAGCTTTATCAAGCACTAATCAGAAATTCCCAGATAAATTTATACTGGCTACAGAGGCCTGTGCAGGATCTATTCTACCATTTGGTAAAGTTATTCTGGGAAGCTGGGAAAGGGCTGAAAGTTATGCACATGATATTTTACAGGTAAATTGTTATTTTTAACTTTGATATATAAAGGGTAAAGAGATTACCTTAGTCTGTATCTGTATATGAAAATTGCATTATTTTATATGGAATTTAAAACAATGAATTATTTCAACTTTTTCACAGCTATATATTGGCTAATCCCAATATTGAAGAATGAAAAAGGGCATTACATCTATTTATAATTTCTTGAAAATTGGACAGAAGCTTGTTTTATTATAGGACAGTATATAATGTAAAATCAGGAAACATTGTATACATCAAGAGATTACTAATGGCAATATATCAATAAACAGCTTAGCCAAGAGCACATGATACACCCTTATTAATGCAATTAAAATTGTTGCAAAAATAAGATGGGACATTTAATAGAAGGGATTTAATTAGAAGAAAATGAAATAGCTCTGTAGAAAGAAAAACATGCATGAGGATACACTTTAGCATAAAAGTCAATTATGAAAAATAAATAAAGATCCAATGATCTTGAAGAACTACCAACTGTAAATTTCTCAAACAATCAAAAATGGAAATTTTACCCATATTCAAGTTTAAAGGAAAACACAGCAATGTAGCTACTTTACGCAACATGGCCACTAATCAGCCTGATGAAGAAGCTGTATAGAAACTTACATTGGGTATAGAGATATCTGTTGTCTATAACAAGAAAAGAAATATTGGGCACAGTAATTAAAACACCATGTACAGATTTATATGGACCCTATAAAGACCTGTATACCATCTCAAATTTATGCTTTGAACTCTATCCTATGCACTCCACAATTTTGAACACAAATTATAAGTGCCAGTCTTTGTAAGAGTCAGGCAATTTAGAAGAATTTCAAAACAGGTCTGGAAAAACCGAGCGGGTTTTTGTTTGGCATGTTTTCACCACTACCTGATTCTTAAGCAGACTATTACTTAAATAAAAAATCAGCTTGTTATTTCTTTCAGGATGTCAATAACTGGGTTACTGGTTGGACTGATTGGAATATTGCATTAGATATGGAGGGAGGACCAAATTGGGTGAAGAATTTTGTAGACAGTCCCATAATTGTAAATGCAAAGAAGGATGAGTTTTATAAACAACCGATGTTTTATGCCATGGGACATTTCAGGTTTGTAGACTGTAGGATGAATCAATAAAAGTCTGCCAAGGAATGGACATGAATTATACAAGAAGCCAGAGGTCTCTGTTGAAATTTTATACTAACAATGTGTCCAATTAGATAATAATTATCATCAACTTATATTTGAGAAATTCATGTTTATTTTAAAACAGCCAATATTATTACATTTCACATTGATTAACTGTATGATTCCTTTACTAATAAGTTACTGCATATCTACTGTTATATAAGAATAAAGAGATGTGGTATGATTGCCAATGAGACAACTGTCCACCAGCGAGGTATGCTATAGAAATAAAGAGATGTGGTATGATTGCCAATAAGGCAACTATCTACCAGCGACCAAGGAGATGTGGTATGATAGCCAATGAGACAACTATCTACTAGAGACCAAAGGATGAGGTTATAAACAACTATAGGTCATTGTACAACATTCAGCCATGATGAACAAAACTGTCCAGTATAGTAAGCTATAAAAGGACTAGTATGACAAAATATGAACAAATTCAAGGGATCTCATTTATGCTCAAAACAAATATGATGGACATCAACAAACAACATCCTCTGAATTATAGGCTCCTCATTTGTGACAGGCACATAAAGAATGTAGCAGTGTTCAACATGTCAGTGAGTGATCAACCCTTCCACCTTACTTGGGACAGTGTAAAAGCATAGCTGTCAACTGACTTGTATTCTGTGGGTCACACCCAAGAATTTCCTCCTTCACATGGGATTTTTTAGATACCTGCCGGGTATTCAAATAACCCGGGATTTCATAAAATTACCTGTTTTCACCCATATTTGTGACCGGTATTGTTTCCGGTATTTAGAAGTCCAATATACTTTCAGTTTTCTCTGGGTTTTTCTTTGAAAAGGTAAACAATTGAAAATTCAAAACTAAGAATTTGCTTATTTACCATGCCAATGACAGCTATCAAAACATTACATTTAATTGAAAGGTAACAATTCAAGGATTATTTGTTAATTTTACCCCAGAAAGTTGAAGCCATTCAAGTTTGACATACAATTCTATGTCCTGATTACAAGATTTGCCATTTGCAAATATCAAATATCCTGTAAAAATCATTTTAAAACAATTTGAACCTTTTAATACATTACTAGAGAATTATTTAGTTATCACTTAAATGTAAAAGCTTTAAATCCATATGCTCTAGATATTACACTGAGCAGGAAAAGGGAACACACTAACTGTTACTTCTTTCTATCTATCTTCTTCCTGTGTATAGGAGCCCATTAGCTATTATTGATTTCTAATTACATGTATAGCTTGTGTTTATGACATTCATTAATAAAAAGAAGTAAACTAGTGTGAATAAAACAATAAGAGGGCATTACTTTAGAAAGATATTTAATTAATGATAAATATTTATATACTTAACAAATACAAAAGTGATTATTTTTAGGAAACTCAGTGGTACATGTATATGTTATAGTGTATAAAAAAAACTTTCAATACTAAAATTGGACCAAAAAATTTGTAGGCGTTATGACCTGACATTTTCTTCTTCAGTGCAGGTCATGACCTGCATTTTCAGTTTTAGAGGTTGACAGGTATGGTAAAAGAGAGGCGATTGACCAAAAAGATATTCAAACTCATAAGTTGAAAACAAACTGACAGTGCTGTGGCGAGAAAAGAAAAAAAAATTCAAAAGACAAACAAGAGAATAGAAAAAAGAATATAAAACACAACATAGAAAACCAAAGACTGATCAACACAAATCCCACCAAAAACTAGGGTTGATCTCAGGAGCTCCAGAAGGGTAAGCAGATCCTACTCCACATATAATGTTCATTTCAAGGCAAAACAATCATTTTAAGTAATAGTCAGTATCTTATAAGATTGAATATTGATAACACCTAGCTACCATTTTTCTTACAGTAAGTTTGTACTTCCTGGTTCAAAGAGAATAGACATTAAAGGAAGTGAGATTGATGGCTTACAAATCTCAGCATTCATACAGGGAGATAACTCTATAGTTGTTGTAATTCTTAACAGGTATGTCCTGATACTACGTATATCAATGATAGAAAATGTACCGTCTTTAAAATGATCAGTTGCATAATTTTTATGTAGATTTTAAGATTTTGATATATTAATAGTGAAAAGTATATTTAACATGAAGTTTATGTTATGTGTTATACAGATTTGATGGTTAGACCAGTGCTGTTATTAGGTCTTTCCACCTTTCTTTGGAAAGACCTTTTGATTTTGATCTGATTTTTTATTTCTTCCATCACTTTTGATTCTTGAATGTCCCTTTTGTTTCACAACTTTTTGATAAGATTGGTATATGAATCAAACAGTTATTGTAACTCACCCTTTTAAATGAACACTATTCCATATGGGAGTTATCTCCCTGTATACTGTTTCGGAGTAATACCACCATTGTTTTTCCCCTATTAGTCTTTGTTAAATTGGCACTTTTCAAGAAATTGTGCAGAATTTATCTTTGTTTCAAATAAAGAAATACTTGGCATGAGTAAAGTTTTATCCTGTCCAGTACTACCAAAATTTCACATAACATTTCATTGCATATACAATAATAACCATCGCTGGAAGTTAACCATCCAATTTTCACCTCTTTTCTGCCTGTTGACAAGCTTTAGTAACCATGTAACCTCAAGTTTCCAAAATACTTGTGTTTGCAGAAAAGCAAATATTGATGATGATTTATTTGCCACAAAGATGTATTACGACAAAATTTAACACCTGTGAGTACTGTTTCACAGATTATCTATTAAAGGGGCACTAGCTATGAAATATTTAAAAAATCTAAAATAGGATTTTTTTTGTTCAATCATTAATGAAAGTGAAATAGTGAAATAATAATTCGCTTTTAGCAGCCAGTATGGTTCAGTTTTGTCAAAATAAGCAAAGAAACATTGATAATGTATTATTCACTTGCAAGTGAATAATTTGACCCCATTAAATCCGTATTCATGTGAACTTCAATTTAACCCCTTAGCTAGAGATGGATAACGCATGAATTGTGTGTGTATAGTTATTTAAAGGAAAAGAATGTCAACATTGAATGTGAAACATAGGTAAATCATTTAATTGACTACTTCGATCCACAAAAAATCATTCTTATACAGGTAAAAACGATGATTAACATATATTTTTAATCTATAATATGAAATTAAACAGACCTAGAAAAATCCAATTGCACGAGTTCATTTTATCTATTTATATCTTTATTTATGTTTATATCACTTATATGGTCATCGGAGGTATTCGTAGGTCAACTCGATAGTTAATTAGATGGTGTCTAGACAAAAATACACACGAAACGAAGCCACACATTCTCAAGCCCATGCCCTGTAAATTGTTTATTTTAGACTTTTTATAATTTGGATAAATGTTTTACATTGTTATAAATCAAATATTAGAATTTGAGTCAAATCGGTGAACATGAATTTGACAGCTAGTGCCCCTTTAAATAGACATTCTATATATATAAATATATATATATTTATATGATCACTCAGAGGAAATTTATGAATTAAAAAAATATGCAATATGCATAAGAGAATCTGTTTATATTCAGAATTGTAATGTCTGTTGTCTATGCTTTTTTCAGATCAGAAGATGATGGTGTTATATCTCTACATGATCCAGAATTAGGTTATATTAACTTATCATACTCCAAACATTCTATACAAACTGTTATATGGTGGACAGGATGATTATGTATCTCATTCTTTATAACATTGTGTCTCCAGAATATCACCCATTACTTTGCAGACAAGTTTATAATATAACCAACATGTGCAGACTTTATTGACCTGTGCTGCTCTTATTATGTTGGTATGGTTCACTCAGAAATTGTGTTTAGTTCATTTTAAACACATTTTATGATAAGAATAAATTCAGATTGTCATCTGTGGCTTAAAATTCTATAAAGAACTTATTTCAGCATCTTATAAATATATTAAATGATGCAGTGCAATAATCTGTATTTTCCATACTGAGAGTCACATGTAGAATGCTCAATTAACTAATCAAAAAAAATTTAAATAATTAGGATGGAAAGGCTTCATTGAAGTATTTCATGGATAAACAGAGAAGTCATCAAGATTTAAATATTGTGGACTTCATTTATAATGTGCCATATTGTTATTTATATATTTTAATAAATCATGTTAAGTTTATATTTTTTGTTAAATTGTTAGAAACATAAAATAAAAGTCAGACTTACTGGTGTACAGAGTTAATTAGTGAAGGATACTTTAGGTCTGAAAAGAAGATCTATTTATAGTACATCATGATGTTGTACAGAGTTAATTAGTGAAGGATACTTTAGGTCTGAAAAGAAGATCTATTTATACTACATCATGATGTTGTACAGAGTTAATTAGTGAAGGATACTTTAGGTCTGAAAAGAAGATCTATTTATACTACGTCATGATGTTGTACAAAAGCTAGAAAATGCTTTGTAAACGACTTACAATATGCAGTTTATCTACCCGAAGAATCCCTGAACTTCTGGTACTAATGAAACAGGGACCTTCACTGAGATAGCTGTGTCAGTGGAGTAAATGTTAACAGTGTGTGCAATATTGTTTTGGAATACCGGTAAAAAAAAAAAAGAAAAGAAAATTGATAAAAATTCATTAAAAATATATTGAATATTTGAATCAGTTGAAAAAAGTTGCCTTCTGATTTAATTTTTGTATCCCAGAAATAAAGGAGTTTAATAGCCATTAGATTTAAGGCAATTTTTTCGCATATCATACACTTAATCCAGTATGCTTAGATTTATTTAATTGAAACTTTATACCGCTGTTTTGACCACCTTGTTGGTCTCATGGTAGGGTGCTTGCCACAAGTGGGGAAGTTTTGGATTCAAACCCCAGTGGGTCAAACCAAAGACTTATAAATGATAGTTGCTATGTTAGACTTACACAAGTATACTAAAAGTAACATTTATTATTTGTTGACTATAAATTGCTAGTTTACTATCAGATACATGTAGTAAACTAGCAATTGATAGTCAACAAATAACAAATGGTACTTTTAGTATTCTTGTGGAAAAACACAAACATAATTAAGATTATTAGAAAACAAAAAAATAATGGAATTTTGGAGAAAAAAAAGGGTGAGGACAAAAGAAATTGTCCTGTCCCCAAGTGCATGTGCTTTTTATCAATAGTCATCAAACTGTTATTTTATTTCCAATACCATAGATTTCCCTTAAGGCAAAATACCCGTTCCTTGATACTTATGTTTGTTTTGTATGACCTCAACTTATTTGGCCAAAGTGGGATATCTTCCAAAGTAAAAATTTGTTTGCATTTCTGGGAAAATACAAAAGAAACATTACCAAAGTCAGCAACTAAAAGCATTAGGAAATGCTATAAATTGACATTTAAGCATCTTTGTCATTCTTTTTTGTCTGCACGATAAGTGTAAATAATTGTAAATTGATATGACTAATGAACCTTCAAATATTGAGATCAGATTCCTTAAAATGTTAATGGGCATCAATTTGTCAGAAATGACCAAATGGATTATAACTGATGTACGTGCATCATGATTTATAATGATTAAGACTTTGATGTGATAGTTTACATTTTGGATGCAAACATCCCAGAAAACAAAACTTGGGAATGGACTGTGTAAAAGAGAGGTGGAAGATACTAAAGGGATATTCAAACTCATAAGTCGAAAACGAACTGACAATGCTATGGTAAAAAAACTAAAAAACAACTGAAAAACAGTTGTAAAAAACAAATATAGATTTTCTAAAGACTGAGCAACACGAACACCAACAAAAAACAGGGGTCATGTCAGGTGCTCTGGAAGGGGAAGCAGATCCTGTTCCACATATGGCACTGGTACATTCGTGCAAACCATGTGCTTTGTTACTTCATTCTTATCTTAACTTTCAAAACAAATTTTGAAAGTTTGTATTGGCGTCATCCCCTGAAAAAAATCTTGATCTGCCCCTACTTTAGGAGTCAAGCAATTGTTTATAAAGGTCAGAATTGATTTAAAAGCAAGAAACAAGTATTTGTCACCTCATTAGGGTTCTTGGACCATGATTTCCCTAAATCAACCACTGATATACATGTTTTAAGTGATTTTTTTTAAATATTTAGGTCAGCAACGTCTAGCATAAATACTATCTGCATTTTCTTGAAATAGTTTTAAAGTATTTGTTTGAAATATAACTTAAAGACATTTTGGAATGTTTGCTCGAAAATATCTATATTTCCTAGATTGACTGAACTCCAAGTTCATTGATAGGCAATTTCAAATAGTGATTTTCGCATAAAAGAAAATACTGTTTAGGCTTCTTTTGCTTGAACAACAACATATTTGTTGTAAAAGTACGATAAAACATTACCATCCTCAGGTTTTATGAAAGGGTTACAAACCTATAACGGTATTAATTATTTTTGGAAGTAAGAACTCTTCCTATGTTTTGGATAAATTACATGTTTTTGAAGGTCTGTTAAATTCTGTTGCCAGTTATGACTTTTCGACTCTTCACTTTCACACAATCTTATCAAACAGAAGTTCTCTTATTTAATTTATTTGGTTAAATGGTCCTTTGAAAAATCTGGTTGCAAATTTATTTGCTGCAACTCATATATAGCCTCCTTCTGTAATGAAAAAGGGAAATATGCTAGATATACTTACTGGAACTGTGATGAGATGGTTAAAGCTGTACATTTTTTCCTTGGCAACATCTATAAAATTGAGAATGGAAATGGGGAATGTGTCAAAGAGACAACAACCCGACCATAGAGCAGACAACAGCCGAAGGCCACCAATGGGTCTTCAATGCAGCGAGAAACTCCCGCACCCGGAGGCGTCCTTCAGCTGGCCCCTAAACAAATATGTATACTAGTTCAGTGATAATGGACGTCATACTAAACTCCAAATTATACACAAGAAACTAAAATTAAAAATGATACAAGACTAACAAAGGCCAGAGGCTCCTGACTTGGGACAGGCGCAAAAATGCGGCGGGGTTAAACATGTTTTTTGAGATCTCAACCCTCCCCCTATACCTCTAGCCAATGTAGAAAAAACAAACGTACAACAGTACGCACAGTAAAACTCAGTTTAAGAGAAGTCCGAGTCCGATGTCAGAATAGGAAACAAAAGAAAATAAACAAAATGACAATTATACATAAATAACAGACTACTAGTAGTTACTGACATGCCAGCTCCAGACCTCAATTAAACTGATTGAAAGATTATGTCTTCGTCATATGAATATCAGGCACAATCCCTCCTGTTAGGGGTTTAGTATTATACCGTCATAAAATATATGAGAAGAACATAACCCGTGTCATGCCACCAACTGGTTTTAGAATAAATATGTTTAATTCCGATGCAAAGACCCTATAAGTGAATCAATATTAAAGCCAAAATATGCAATCTTTAATGACCTGACAACAGTATCGTAACTATATCCCTTCTTAATAAGTCTGTTTAAAGGTTTTGTTAGCTTTTGAGGTGAATACTGACATTTTTGTGCTTTGTAAAGAATATTACCATAAAAGATTGGATGTGAAATACCCGAACGTATAAGATGTCTGCATGTTGAGTTATATTTACGAATGATGTCCTTATACCGATGATAAAATTTTGTAAATGTTTTGACTAGTTTATGATATTGAAAACCCTGGTGTAATAATTTTTCAGTAATATATAAATTTCGCTCGCTAAAATCTAATACGTTGTTACATACACGAGCGAATCGTACAAGTTGAGATACATAAACACCATAAGATGGTGACAAGGGAACGTCACCATCTAAAAATGGATAATTAACGATAGGAAATGAAAAATCATCTCTTTTATCATAAATTTTTGTATTAAGCTTCCCGTTAATGATATAGATATCAAGATCGAGGAAAGGACAGTGGTCATTGTTAGTATTAGCTTTATTTAAAGTAAGTTCAACAGGATAAATTTCTTTAGTATACATACTGAAGTTGTCATTATTGAGAGCCAATATATCATCCAAATATCTAAAGTATTGTTAAATTTTTGTATCAGATGTTTTGGCAATAAAATTTATCAACAGGTTGTAGACATTTCTATAAGAACCGAATGCACCCTTATAATGTTCCTGTATTGTTAAGAATTACAGTTTATGGCCAAAACTCAGTAAAGATCCGTTTAAATTACATAAATTGAAAAATTTAAAAACACTTACCGTTACTTTGATGATATTTTTGCTTTAAATAATCAAGAATTTTCTAATTTTACTGCGGAAATTTGACCAAGGGAACTTGCTTTAAATAAAGCAAGTGGCTATTTCGCCGGCTGTATTGAAATTTTTAAATATACTTCAAATTTATTTAAAATTTACATACTAATACGAATTTCAGTAAATTGATGTTCTCAAAATGTCCTTGGGCATTCTTTTCTCTATATAACATGTAACAAAAATTAGAAAACAGTCCATAAATAAATACTTTCTAGAACAGTGCACAGGAGGTCATTAGTTGAAAGACTTTTGGCCAACTATAAAGCCATTTTTAACGTACAAATGATGCATCAGCCAAACTTGAAGAAACCATACTTGATGAAGAAAGAACAATCATACAAAACCAACAAAGATATATCTGAATTATTTAACAATTTTTTTATAAATGTAGCCAAAAATATTGGACACTAGCATACAGGTTAATGAAAACACCCAAGTACAGAAGCCATAAATCAAAAATACTCAGATAGGTTAACACCCAATCAACTTATTTTTTTCAACCTGTAAATGAAGCTTTAATATATCTAAGCGTATAATTAAACTAAATGTAAAAAAGGCGGCTGGTGTACAGATGGTATATAGTCAAAACTACTGCACTATGCTAAACCTATTGTGGTTAAACCTATCACTCAGCTCGTAAATTTATCATTGCCCACTTCTATTTCTTCCAGACTCATTGAAAATTGCCCAAGTGATCCCGGTTCACAAAAAAATAGGGAATTATGGACCTGTTAGTGTTTTACCTGCTATATCCAAAATTTATGAAACAGCCAAAGAAAATCAACTTTCTGAATACTTTGATGATATTTTAACCCTTTCCTTGCAGCTTATTGATCAGGTTGTGACTGTCTGTCAGCCTTCTTAAACATTTTAGAAGAATGGAAAAATGCACTGGATTATAATAAATATTTAGCAGCAGTACTTAAGCAAAGCCTTTGACTGCCTACCTTATGATCTTCTTATCCTTATAC